CAATTAATCATCGCGCGGAACGCGGCCGGGATCGGTGCGTGTCGCCGTCGGGGACAGTTCGAAACAGAAGATATCATTCGGAATTGCCGCGGTGCGGGGCTCATAAGCTGTCCAGTCGATCAATTACGCGGAGGATTGTCGAATTAAGAGGCTGCCGAGGAGTCGCTGCGATGCGGCACTCACGGAGTTAGGAATTACGACCGTGTAGAATTGATGGAGCGTGCAATTTTAATCCTGCTCGGTTAGTGGCCCTTGGAATTGCGGAACTCGCGCGTAGCGTTTCTGGAATTGTCCTGTAATTGCGGCACCGGCCGAGATATCGCCGCGATATGTCAGAATCTGAGTGTTACGGAGTTGACGCTTCTTGGAATTGCCGCGGAGTTTTTGAAGGATTATGGAATGTGTTCGTTTTGGGACTGTAGGATCTCGAGTTTATCGTAGAATTACCGTGGAATTGCGGGGTTGTCCGCGATTCCAAGAAGCAAATGAGGAACTGGGGAGTCTGAGATATTTGAATGTGTTCGTTCTGAGACTGTTGTAGGATCGCGAGTTTATCGTGGAATTGTCGTGGAATTGCGTGGGTTGTTCGCGATTCCAAGAGGCAAATGAGGAACTAGGAAGTCTGAGATATTTGAACGTGTTCAGTTTGAGACTGTTGTAGAATCACGAATTTATCGTGGAATTGAGAGGTTGTCCGCGATTCCAAGAGGCAAATGAGGAACTAGTAAGTCTGAGATATTTGAACGTGTTCAGTTTGAGACTGTTGTAGAATCACGAATTTATCGTGGAATTGCGAGGTTGTCCGCGATTCCAAGAGGCAAATGAGGAACTGGGAAGTCTGAGATATTTACCTGTTCAGCGAACGTGTCCTTGTTGAGAAACTTCATCGGCTCCAGATGGGAATGGAACTGCTCGACTACAGTCAGCTGCTTTTTCAGTAGGTACTCGATAATATAGCCCATCGTCACGTCGTCGGGCAACCTAATTCTGTCGCCCACCGTGATGAACTTCCCGCCCCTGGAAGGGAAAGCAAACAGCCGTTACTCGTGTCGTCGCCGTGGGACACGTCCCGTTCCGCGGCTGCCGTCGATTCGTCGGGAACGACCGGAAACTCTCTCCACAAACTACGTAATTAAATCCATCGAAATATCGAGCAACGACGTTCGTACTGTCGCGTTAATGACATCATCTTTGCTTTAACCCTTTGCGGCCGATGACTGTTTAAAGTACACGAAGCTAAATTATACATCGAATGCTTAAACAATAGTGAAAAAGGGAACTACACACCGATCACTTGCTATTCAAGTAATTAATTCGTTTGCAACTTAGTATTCGAAATATGAAAATTTCATCTGACCGGAACGTTGACATTCGTTCGCAAAGGGTTAAGTATCCTATCACGTCTTAGATACAGGGTGATTTTCTTGAAATTCTTTACGCGAATTCAATGATATTCTTTTAAAAGTTAACGCTCGAATACTTAAATCATTCTTCATACATGTAATTCGATCAAATTCTACTTTTGTTTCGTGCAGCCAGTCACTTCAGCGAATGGCTCGCGTTACATCCTCTTACGCTGACACAGTTCCACATCTTCCGAAGAAACAAGACCACCAATATCTCAAGCGTACAGATCACGTTACACCCCTAACAAACTAGAACCACCACAGCCGCCATATCAAAATGACCTCGCAACTTTCGTTTCACAAGTGTCCCGACTATAAATCCTACCACCGTCGATTCTCGAATGACGATATAATAATCCCACATCCTAAACGCTAGGTCGGCGCGTCAGCTTGGTCCACAGTGAATTTCATAAACATGGTAATAATCTAAATAATAATCTAGTACACTGATCATCTGTGCCTAACCTCTTGGCTACTGTCGGTTTGTCCGTCGTAATCAAATAAAGGCGCCTCTCAGTCACCACTCGATGGGCGCATCAAGATTGTAAAATTTCGTATTTAACATTAAGTCTCGGAAACAAAATACCATTGTTCTCATTTTATGAACAAACTCCTCGTTAAGTTAGTTTTAAAAAAATGTCATCTACATCTCATAAAAATAAACTGAGCATTTCTAACGACAAATTTTTCGAGTGGGTTAAATGCTCGGTAATTCTCGTGTTAAGATGACGCGTATACTCAAACACAGTTAACAGCTCAATCCTCCAGTCTCCAATACCTAAACGAACAAACTAATCCCCTAAGAGTAACACAACAAAACCACACAACAAACCAGGAACCTGAAAACCACCGAAACTCATCGAGTTACCTCGAAATTACCTTTCGTAGTAAACGGTTCGAATTCCGCGGCGCGCATTCTCGATTTCCGTGCGGTCTCGCGGATGCATAAACAATATAAATAAGTCAGAAAGGAGCGTCGCGTCCTACCTACCAACCTACCCACCATCCCCGTATTTTACTGTTCCATAAAGTGTCCCCGCATAAACCGAAAGTGCCGGGCACTAAAGTCGAACGCCGCCGCGCATGAGTTACGGAACGATGCGGCGCGCACGCGATACTTTTCCGCCGCGGGTCCCTCGGACGATCTCCTGCGCTAGGCCGCGCCGCGCCGCGCCCACCTATACGCTCTAGGATTATCTGGTGTTTATTGCCCGGCGGCGCGTCGGGTGGCCCGGCCGAAAGAAGAGCGGAAGAGGAACGAGAGCCGGACGGGGACTTCCCCGGGGATAATAAATTCCTGGAGCGTACGCGACCGGGTTCGCGTGTTGCCCGGCGAGCGCGGCTCGTAGCTAACCGGGATTATTATTTAGTGGCACGGGGAAACCTGCGGGTGAATCATTGGGTGGCCATTGCGGGGGAATCGTGGATTTAGCGGAGGTTGGATTCTATGGTAGGTCTAACGTGGCTGGGTTCTTCGAGAATATCGTGTTGTGCGGCGTTCGTGCGGAGGGAACTGTAGAAAAGGTTTGGTTGGCTTGCGGTTCGGTGGAATGCGTTTGTTGGAGTGGGAATTAAGCGTTTGCACTTGGAAGATTTTTAGTGATGTTTAATATTCTTTGGTGAGGTACGGACGATGTTCTTTGAAAGTAATTAATGAGGAAATATGTATAAATTGACTCTTTGAACTCTGGCTCCAATATTGCACTAGTTGGAATATTAAATATTATAATGAATCTTATAGAAACTACCCTAAAATTATTTGATTTTCTACAGATCCAAATTTTGTACTAAGGAAAATAAAAGATCGAAGAGATGTTATAGCAATCGGATATTAATTACTTTGTTACACCTTTGTCTTAATTTATACTTAATTAATACTTAAATTAATAAAGGGTTAATCAAGAATTGCTCTGCGAACTGTGTACTAGGAATATAGAAATTATAGGGATTGGTAATTGGAGTTTAGTTGCAATGTTCCTAGTCTAATCTATTAAGTAATTAACAGTACATATTGGCATCTGTGAAACTAGGTAGCGTTGATAGCTTAACTGTTTCTTCAATATTAATCGCAAGTTCCTTAAAATTCCAGGGTAGCTCCAAATACTAATTAAATTTCAATCATTCTTACCCCAATCTTCGAAAAATCAACATTCCTTCGAGGTAATATCTTACAGAAGTTTAACCCTTTGCAGACGACTGTCGACATTTCGGCGAGATGAAATGCTCGTATTTCGAAGACCAGGTTGCAGGCAAATGATTTAGTTACTTGGAAAGCAACATATCATCGCGTAGTTTTCATTTTTTGTATTAATTAAGCATTCGATATATAATTCAGCTTTATCTGCTGAAGGTCTTGTATATTTCAAAGAATCTTCGTCCGCAAAGGGTTAAACCTAAGAGTCACCAGTTGAATCTACCAAACATCAATTTCAATCCATAATAAATTCTATTATTTCCTAAATTTCTAATACTAACTTAAACCTAACAATCAGTCTCAAAAATCGTAAGAAGTCAATTAGTCCCTATCCATCGTGTCCAAAGATAATCACCCAGAGACACCAGCTATCTTCATCCTCGAGCTCCCAATGGCAATAAACAAGGACAATTATTTTCTAATAGTAAATAGTAACCAGATAACCCTGGAGCCGGCTGTTGCACGCGCAGCGGACGAGCCAGGGAAACGATGGCGCCGATAAGAGGACCGCGGCGAGCAGCGGGGGCCCGAGTCCCATTGTATGAAGCAATTAACTCATTTTCATAGCCGCGGAGAGTTCACGGGAGCGTGCGGATCGCGACTGGAGCCCTCCCGGCTGCGGGCTTATGGGAAAAAAAGGGAGGGACTCCCCTCCGCGAATAAATTACGCCGCACAGAGGCGGAAAGTCACGCGATCCGGACCTTAGGGTCCTTAAACCTTTCGCGTGGCACACCGGGGACACGCACGCGCGATTAAGATCGACAGGAAACGGCCAGCGGAGGGACACGATTTCCCTGAACGCCGGGGACCCTCCGTCCTCCCCCCCTCCTGCCCTCTGCGCGCTCCGTATTCCGCGAAACGAGTTTCGCCAAATTTCGCTGGCCATTGTCCGGTTGTTGCAACAACGAGGATGATGGGGTTCAACAGACGGCGCGTTTGAATCCTCGCTGGAAGTCTGATGATGCCTTCTTTGTGCTCCCGGTCGCCGTTGGACTGGGGATGTTTGCGAGAGCGGTTTATGCACGAACGTCGGGGTTAATGAGCAGAAAATTAGCTTATTCGGGGAACGACGCAGGACAAAATGCGATAGTTGTGGGATTATTTGAATACTCCGGGCAGAGGTTTATTTTGAGGTTGAAAGAGGTGTTGCATGATGTTTGAGTGAATTTTTGGAGGTTGCTGGTAGCTTGTTTGGGGATTGAAGGGAATCTAAGTGATGCGATGCTTGTGGGAATATTTGATTATAATGGGCAAAGGCTTATTTGGAGGTTGAAAGAGATGTTGCATGATGTTTGCGTGAATGTTTGGAGGTTGCTGGAAGCTTGTTTGGAGATTGAAGGACCTAAGTAATGCGATGTTTGTGGGATTATTTGAATACAGTGGGCAGAGGGTTGGGTTATCTGGAGATTGGAAGAGACGCTGTTGATGTTTGTAGAAATGTTTGAAGATGTGTTTGTTCATGGATTGAACGGATTAAAACTTAGGTAGAGGTTTCAGGGATAATGGTGTAGAATGAGTTATTCACATTTCGATGAGAAGGTATCAAAACTCAAAGGTCTTAGCTTCTGCATCTAACTTCTTCAACGACGTTTTGATTGTTGCATCTGCTTCTAACTTCTTCAACGTTTTGATTATTGCATCTGCTTCCAACTTCAACAACGTTTTGATTATTGCATCTTCTAACTTCCTCAACAACCAAAAGCAATGAACAATGCTCCATCCTCCCCATCATCCACACGCTCCAAATTTCTTCACCGAACCACAGAATGTCCCACCCTCAAACCCAATCAAACATCGGAAACACCAGCAAACGATCAACCAAAATCAGCCGAACTCTCAGCCGAAAGCCCAACAGATGAAGAAACCCACTGGGAAGATGAAGAAGCAGAAGCAGAAGAATGCCGAATAATAAAACCGCGCCGACAGCGGACAAAGCAGCGAGCAGAGCGTTCATCGAAGGAAAGAGGGACGACAGGAGGGGCGAGTTTCGGCCGCGAGAAATATTAGAATCTGATAATGGGAAAGTAACGAGGGGCCGGTGCGTTCGGCGCGCGGACCGTTTAATTGTCGGAT